GACCCCAGGACCCTACTGAGGACCCCAGGACCCTACTGAGGACCCCAGGACCCTATTGAGGACCCCAGGACCCTACTGAGGACCCCAGGACCCTACTGAGGACCCCAGGACCCTATTGAGGACGCCATGACCCTGGGTAGCCGTTACATGGGTGTCTGGTTGTCTGGTCGCCTTCCGTCTGGGCGTCTGGTCATCCGCATCTGGTCGTCTAGGCAATATCAGATAAGGAGCCGACTAAGATAATCTTGGACGTAAAGACCAATCACTTACCAACTGATAAAACTGTTCATTGATCTGGTATTTCCCTTTTGACAGTACTTGAACTTGTAAGTGGTAGCGAGGCACGTGATTTTGATGAGAGCCGACCTGTCATATGGATTTGAACACAGCCGACCTGCCATATGTGTCCGAACACAGCCGACCTGCCATATGTGTCCGAACACAGCCGACCTGCCATATGGGTCAGAACACAGCCGACCTGTCATATGGATTTGAACACAGCCGACCTGCCATATGTGTCCGAACACAGCCGACCTGCCATATGTGTCCGAACACAGCCGACCTGCCATATGGGTCAGAACACAGCCGACCTGCCATATGGGTCAGAACACAGCCGACCTGTCATATGGGTCAGAACACAGCCGACCTGCCATATGGGTCCGAACACAGCCGACCTGTCATATGGATTTGAACACAGCCGACCTGTCATATGGATTTGAACACAGCCGACCTGTCATATGGGTCAGAACACAGCCGACCTGTCATATGGGTCAGAACACAGCCGGCCTGCCATATGGGTCAGAACACAGCCGACCTGCCATATGGGTCAGAACACAGCCGACCTGTCATATGGGTCAGAACACAGCCGACCTGCCATATGGGTCAGAACACAGCCGACCTGTCATATGTGTCCGAACGCAGCCGACCTGTCATATGGGTCAGAACACAGCCGACCTGTCATATGGGTCAAAATACAGCCGACCTGTCATATGGGTCCGAACGCAGCCGACCTGTCATATGGGTCAGAACACAACCGACCTGCCATATGTGTCCGAACGCAGCCGACCTGTCATATGGGTCAGAACACAGCCGACCTGCCATATGGGTCCAAACACAGCCGACCTGTCATATGTGTCAGAACACAGCCGACCTGTCATATGTGTCAGAACACAGCCGACCTGCCATATGGGTCCGATCACAGCCGACCTGTCATATGGGTCAGAACGCAGCCGACCTGTCATATGTGTCAGAACACAGCCAACCTGCCATATGGGTCCGATCACAGCCGACCTGTCATATGGGTCAGAACGCAGCCGACTTGTCATATGTGTCAGAACACAGCCGACCTGTCATATGGGTCCGATCACAGCCGACCTGTCATATGGGTCCGATCACAGCCGACCTGTCATATGTGTCAGAACACAGCCAACCTGCCATATGGGTCCGATCACAGCCGACCTGTCATATGGGTCAGAACACAGCCAACCTGTCATATGGGTCAGATCACAGCCGACCTGTCATATGGGTCCGAACACAGCCGACCTGCCATATGGGTCCGATCACAGCCGACCTGTCATATGGGTCCAAACACAGCCGACCTGTCATATGGGTCAGATCACAGCCGACCTGTCATATGGGTCAGATCACAGCCGACCTGTCATATGGGTCAAAACACAGCCGACCTGTCATATGTTTCCGAACACAGATTGGTCCTTTAACACCTGGAGCTTCTAATAGTGTATATCAAAATTTTTACAAAGTGATCTGACATTTTGGTTGAAAACCGCTAGGCTTTGAGTTATTTCGGAGTTTGTTATTTGCACGGTTTAATGCTGTGTATTAACGGCAGTAGTGATGATCAATGTGCTGGTTCACAGAGAGCTATACCACACTAACGTGATGTGACAATGAGAAAAACATCATTGCCTGGGAATACCCAGCACATAGGTTCGAATCCTCATCCAGGCTCCTACGGATTTTCTCAATGTGGTGGCTATTGTAGATTTGTGATAGCATATATAGCTTAGGGGTCAATACGGTGCATACGTTTGTATGCAGTGACAATGTCGACAGCCCACGTCACACTCAACAAAAACCCATGTTTATTTGTATTTATTTTTACTATTTTTATTTTTGTATATATACAAGAGTTCTTACATTCTTGTACAGCCATTAGCACGCATAGCGTTTCGGGCAGGTCCTTAATCCTATGTTCCCTGGATTACAACCCCGCCATATCGTTTAACAACCTTGTATCCATTTTACTGTTGGGTAAACAGAGGCTACAGTTAAGGATTGGCGCCCAGTAAATCCTTCCCGGCCAGGATACGAACCTAGGCCCAAAGTGCTCGCGAAACGCCAGGCGAGTATCTTACCACTACGCCACGGGGACTGCTACACACGTCACACTCAACAAAAGCTCACGTCACATTATACTCATAAGGTTCATTTCTTGTATTATAAATCGTTGGTTTAAAATATAAAAAGTATATGCTGAACTCGTTTTCTTTGAAGCGGTCTAAAGATTTTGGCTTTCTATAAATAAAATTCTAGGGTATACTCAAATAGTTTTCGAATTCCATGTTTCACATTTTTGAGAATATTAAAACAGTATTAATCAGTAGTAATGAAACCTAACCTTATCCTATAGGGAGTAGATAACAGCACGAACTCCTTAGTCGTTTTGTTGTTGTTGTTATTAAAGATTCGCTACCTGGAACAAGAAGTTCCAAGTAGCATGGGCTATGGTGAGCCCGTAGTAGAATGTTAGTGGTTTTGAAGTCATTAACTTAATGGGATCTCCATCCTGAGGACAGGTCGTTGGGTGATACTTAATGGTGACTGGCATATCCCGCCAAACACACGCCGAAACTAAGACGTTGGTACAACGTTCGAACAAGTTTTAACACTTCCTAACCAGTTATAACAACAATATTCAAGTTGTAACAACGAATAAACACGGTAAGCCAAGATGTAACAACTTTATTACAAGTTGTAGCGGAAAATAGAGACAGTTTCGGTTTGTGTTTCCAGGGATGGGGCTATTACATTATGGAATCTGCAGTTCTAGCAACAGCACAGTAGTTTTTTTTAACATTAACAACAGAAAGAAAATATAAATGTGTAATTTAGTAAAGCAACGTATTGAGTTAATAAATAAATAAATAAATAAATGTTTAATAAATAACATAAATACATACATACATAATACATTATTTAGGTACATACATACATACATACATACATACATACATATATACATACATACATTTATTGTGCAATATTACTCAAAGGTGAAAAGCGTTTATGTAACAAAAAATTATTACTTAGATGAAGCAACAATATGTTTGAGTGGAAATTGTATATGACTCTATTGTATTTTCGGACCCGTGTCTATAAATAATTGGTGTTGATTGTGTGTGATTATTTTGTGGCCGTTGTGGTCACTATCAAACCGAAGGACAAACAAACATTTCTCGACTGATTATACACAGCACGAACCATAAATATATTATTTCGGAGCTTAGCAGAACAGTTGGGTTCGTCCTCGACTCACAATCTGGAATCCGGGGTTCGAGACAGAAATGATTGGGCAGGTTTTCTATTTAATAAAGCCACTGTTCACCTATCAGTAAACAGGTATACATGAATTGGACAACTGGTGTGGGGCTCCACCCTGGGGAGGGAGGTCAGTAGTTCCACCCTGGGAGGGAGGGGGTTATCTTGAGATGATTTCGGGGCTTTTAAGTGTCCCCGCGGCCCGGTCCTCGACCAGGCCTCCACCCCCAGGAAGCAGCCCGTGACAGCTGACTAACACCCAGGTACCTATTTACTGCTAGGTAACAGGGGCATAGGGTGAAAGAAACTCTGCCCATTGAGTCTCGCCGGCGCCCGGGATCGAACCCGGGACCACAGGATCACAAGTCCAGCGTGCTGTCCGCTCGGCCGACCGGCTCCCTAGGTCAGTAGTTCCACCCTGAGGGGGTGGACGTCGATATACACCTAACATATATACTACTCGAGTGCTGAAGTGGCTCTGCCAAACCTCGAGTTGAGTGTAGACCAAACCACACACTAGAAGATGAAAAGACGAAGACGTTTCGGCCCTTCCTGGACCTTCAAGTATCAAGTCAAGTAGAATGTTTCAGAAATAGTTGTCTTATCATCCAAGTGTCAAAGGTATGTGGATGACATCCTTTTGTTAGACGAATCATCGTAATAGAAAAGTACTGTGAATGAATTTAGCTAAATATTTTAAAAGAAGATATTGACCCTACTAACACCAGTAAAGTATATAGAGTTTTAAAGGCAGGATAGTCATACGTTTTGAGAAATAATCACATGAAAACAAAAGAATGGAGATTCATATAACGTGGTAAATGAACCCGCAGAAACCTGAAACAAATCCAGTAATTGATACCTAATAATTTATCCCATGAATTATTTATCCAGGTCTTGCCTGATTCTGAACTTAAACGATTTGTGTCCATTGTTTCGTGTGTGTAGCCCTTCATCCACTTTTATACTTCAGCGTAAACTCAAAAATCTATGTAGAACACAGAGGACATGACTACACAGTGGGTATTAGAACCAGGTTTATAGAGTAAGGTCAGAAGGAGAAAGGGGTAAAAAAGAGAGAAGAGTGGGGTCAGAATAGATTGTGGTCAGGAGAGAGAGAGAGAGAGAGAGAGAGAGAGAGAGAGAGAGAGAGAGAGAGAGAGAGAGAGAGAGAGAGAGAGAGAGAGAGAGAGAGAGAGAGAGAGAGAGAGAGAGAGAGAGAGAAAATCAAAAGAGGAAACTGAGATCAGACGACATGAGAGAATAGGGTTAGAGAAGAGAGATAGGGTCAGAAGAGAAGATTGATGAGGTCAGAATGATGAGGAGACCACTGAAGGACATGAGAGGAAGTTGTGCCAGTATGGAACTATGTGAGGATGATACAAACTTCAAGAAAACTTGTTTTTTCCATCATACAAAAAATAGGCCAATTAAAGTCTTCAAATTCAATTGCTTTTATTTCATAAAGCACTGTGCAATAATGCCTAATAAACCCGTGATGATAAGAAGTAGAGACTTAAAAACTCTTTAAATCCGAAAATGCTGCATCCTGATTTAGAAATAAATAAATAAAAATTAGAGTTTTAGGAGTAGTTGAAGCGTGAGGCAGTCCTGTGTAAGAGGTTCTCATTTATCATCAGTGTTTAGTGACACACAGCAACAAACAGTGTACTGATGCCGATGAAGGACGTTGTAGAGAGCTTTGTAATCTCTCCTCTGCCTTTGGTGTGTGTGCAGAAGAATACAGCAGGCTGGTGGCTCCCTCTAGCTGCTTCCCTCGAATGGTTCGCAGGCTTCCACCTGCCCGCCCTTGATTGTCCAGTCCTTGAAGGAGCCGCCATAAACCCTGTACACAGACAAAGTCAACAGAGATATAAAGGAATATTTTCAAAATAAAAAACATGCAAGAATTGCAAGAAGCTAAAAAGAGTTGGCATGGTTTGTTCCGGGGGTTTTTGGTTACTTCGGGGAAACTCAAAGGTTGCTCTTAGTGGCCCTTACTAGCTTAGTGCCCCATGCTAACCCAATTCCTCTTAGTGCTCCGTACTAACTTAGTGCCCCATGCTAACATTTCGACCCATCCCCTGCGGACATGGGTCGAAACGTTACACACATAATGGGTTCAGGAACTGGATACCAATGTTCTTTAAGCTAAACAATTTACATATGCAGCAAAGTAGTTACATAAAGTTTTCATTTACCTATTATGTAACCCAAGTTTGCCTTCAGTAGCTAAATTTGGAATATTCAACAAAGGTTTTAGTGGTATATCACATTAAATTATTTAGACATTTCTTGAACATAGGGTAGTTGTGGTCAAATGTTTCATTAATCCTATCACTTAGAATATGTGTGAAAATTCACATAAATTGCAGCAAAACGTTGTCTGCCATAAATGATTTCTGAAGGCGGCCAATGTCATTTGTAGAAATAACAAACATCAGAGAATATTATTCTGGTTCAAGCTCACAAGCAAGTAGAGAGTCATGTAATGGAATTAACCACCGATGGTCGACGTTTCAATCCCCTCCACGAGCCTTCAGGTAATCCTACCTGGCAGACATGGTCCATAGCGAATACACCCAGTCATGACTGATTCTTGGGAAGCCTATGAAAATATGCAGGCGATAAGTCACAATAACGTGGTTAAAGTATGTTGACCAGACCACACACTAGAAGGTGAAGGGACGACGACATTTCGGTCCGTCCTGGACCATTCTCAAGTCGATTGTCGACTCGGACAATCGACTTAAGAATGGTTCAGACGGACCGAAACGTCGTCGTCCCTTCACCTTCTAGTGTGTGGTCTGGTCAACCCATGAAAATATCCCCTAACGCCCTGTTGTTTAGAAAAAAAGACATTCGGATGCCAGCTGCTGCCTGAAAAGATCACCTCTCTTATCCCTAGGCTAAACATATTCGACTGGACCTTGCGTTCCGTCACCAAGTTATACCCTGTGCTATTGCAACAGTACCGCCACAGAGTATAGAAGTAGTCACCTGTCCATTCAGAAAACTACATACACTCTGTCACCCATGTGGGAGAACCAGAATTATTATGTTGGTTATTTCATCATGCACTGCTCCTCCAGGAGCTATGTATAGATTGTGACGTTGGCGCCAATGTATGCCATCCCACGTATGATTTCGTTTCAGAGATGATCAGCCATGAGAACCTACATTATTTGTTTCGTGAACATTGATTATTTCCTGATTACTAGTGTTGTGTGGGTCCCAAATGTTTTCCATTAGTTTATTTATTTATTTAAATTATATACAAGAAGGTACATTGGGGCTTAAGAGAGTACATAGTAGTGATGATGATTTTGCATTCTTGTAAAGCCACTAGCATGCATAGCGTTTCGGCCAAACTGTAGTTACTGTAGTGCCCCCTAGAAACCGCATTTGATAAGTGTCCATTAAACCATGTTAAGTTGTTTGCCATAGAATGGCCCTCAGGAAAATTCAGGTAATTTTGTATATCCAAGTATATAGAATTGTTCATCTTTTTCATATCTTTAACTGATCTGAGTATTTGCAAAGAAGCCCAACAAAATATTGAATATTTTAAGAATCCAGCATATTTGTTAACCAGGGCTGAGAGAAATGCGCATTTCACGGGTTAAACAAGAAGTACATTGCCAAATGGAGGCAATTTTTTTTTTTGGCATCCTATTTGAATTCTACTTCACACATCAGCCTAGTATATAGGTAAGATGTAACCATGATCAAGAACCTTACACTTAAATATAAACCAGTCCAATTTTCTTTTAATGTGACGTCCAGAACGCCAAATATGTATTGTAAGGGAACCACATTAACATTCCCACTCTCAAAACAATATAAGAAAATCACAAATCAAATATTACCAAATTACAGACAGTTGCTGTATCTGCTACACAAACGTCGCAAATAGTTTACATAAGTGTTCGGCAGAACTAACCTTGTCTGGAACCCCTTGGCGGTGAGAGCATCCCCGGCCCGCCTGGCGCGTCCGCCCATCTGGCAGTGAGGCACGATGGTCTGGTCGGTGGTAGGCTTAGGGAACCCGTACTTCTCCTGGAAGCTGTCGTCGTCCATGTCTAGGGCGTCATCCAGCTCCGAGACTGTAAGGCAATCACATTTACAATTTTGTGTTACATCTTCCTTTAAGGGAAAGAGATACATATTAGAAATGAAATGTGAGGCAAAAGGTAGTGGGGTGATATTTCCAGTATGTGTTGTTACGATCACCGTCTCAATAACAGTCCTTTCCGGCCTCAAGAGTCATTTTTACCCACTTAGAAAGATCGCAGATGGCCCAAGCTGTAATTTAAGTTAAGAAGGAACGAGTCTTATACACAATCTTGCGTGATATTTGGCTGTAAGGCGATGAATTGTGGCAGATTGTGAAATAATATGGCACCCGGGCGGGCGGTGACACATCTGGGGACTTGGTGGAGCGCAGTGACACATGCCTCAAGCTCATATAACTCAGGTGCTCAGCCAATCAGCAACGAGCTTTCTGTGACATCATCAGTGGGCACCGAGCCCGCCCCAGGGAAGGAGCTCAGCTCATTGTTCGGCCAGACTTCAGACAGGTTGTGACCTTGGACGCTCTCTCGTGGATCGGCAGATTTGGATCTTAAACTGCAACCCGTCCTCTTAAAAAGAACGTCACTTTTGGCTCGTATGCGCGCTATGGCCAAATTTGGACGTAATTTGAAATGAAATCGACTCACAAAAGTGACGTTCTGTTCCGTTTTCTATTTGAGTCTTCCGGCGTACGCGCAGAGGTTATAAGAGGACACTTTAAATTCACGTTTTTCATAACGTTTTGAAACTTTATGAGAATTTCCTGCCCACCTAACCTATCAGAGGACCCTAAACTTACTGTTGTTGAAAAAAAATACCAAATTTATTTTCATTTTTTTTTTCATTTTCAAATTACGTCCAAATTCGGCCATACGGGTAAACGGCCAAAAGCGACGTTCTTTTTAAGAGGACAGGTTGCTTAAGTAGGGAGTTGAGCCTGGGAGAAAGGCAACAGGACTCTGACCATATTGAGGTGCCAAGGGGACCTTTTTGGATGAGGTGGTACAAGTATCGTCGACGAAAGAACCAGCTGAGAGTAGAAGAGTCTCGATAGCATGCCAGATTCAGTGGAGGGAGCTGCAAGTACCTTCATTTGGATCTTGACTGTCGAAGCCTAGTGACAGTCCTGACCAGGGAGCGCCAGAAAGGGTAACGACTCGGTGTGTGAGAATCCATAAGAAGTAGCCGGTGAAGAGGCTATTGAAGACACGACCAAGGCCATAATAAGCAAGTGATTCTTTTGATTTTTGCCTGTGAAGAGGCAAGTAGAATGTTGATTAACTCCTGGAGAGGGAGTGTTTTATTTATCTGTGCCAACGAAAAGGCTGCGAACAATCGTGCATCGATGTTAAACAATTCTATAGTAACCAGTGAAGTGAGCAAGTGTGGCAGAAATTAATATCTCTGGTTACCCCTATAAAGATTGAATATAGTGAAGACTGCGACAGCGCCCTGTATAGAAACTGACAAAGCCAGTGAAGTCGACCGTCGTAATATCTCCTTCCATGGCTGTGAATCAGTGCACTGGGCACTGACATGAGTCTGCCAGGACAAGATACATCCCACGGAGTGACGAGAGTCAAGGGAAACCCAGTGTCGACACCAGCGTTGGACACCCCACTAAACGTGTCCCCTGGTGTGTCGAGAGGATCGGCGCCAGCTCTGTGTTACCTAAGGAAGGAAGAAGGACGAGGATACGTGTGAGCCAAGTAGCAGCCAAGGATGTGGTGATGGAACATCAGTGAACTGGCGACACATGGGAGCTACAAACCACTAGAGATACCATAATTTCCTAGCTAAGTAATCTGCCCTGCCCTTTTCCCCTTGGTGAATAGGCGTTCCCAAGGGAACCTGTAGAAATTTATTATTATTATTATTATGTTATTGTTATTGTTATTATTATTATTATTATATATATATATATATATATATATATATATATATATATATATATATATATATATATATATATATATATATATATATATATATATATATATATATATATATATATATATATATATATATATATATATATATATATATATAAACCTAGAAGGGGTACCACCTCTGGTGCAAGTGTAGGGACCCATAGCCTCGGAGAAGAAAATAAAGAGTACTCAGAGAAGACCTTGTGGGTCCTCACTGAACACTTTGATATTTTCTTCTCCTACCACCCCTATTCTTTTGTTAAGTGTGTATATTTATCTAACTTTATTTGAAAATGTCATTACACAAAAAAAGTTACAATATTGATTAATATAATATATATATATATATATATATATATATATATATATATATATATATATATATATATATATGAGTATGTATAATATATATATATATATATATATATATATATATATATATATATATATATATATATATATATATATATATATATATATATATATATATATTGGTATTAATGAAGGTCGAGCGGCCATTGATTGCAGACTTGAATGTGACTAAGGCAAATAATTATTTATTTATGTAGTTCTTTTGTTTGTAAATATTATTTTAGTTCAAACGCTGTGTTTATATGTACCTTCATTACGATTATGCCACGTCTTTTATATGTGAAAACCTGACAGTAGAGTACTGTCTACTTGAAGTTCTGGAATAAAGATTTAATGAAATCGGGGAACGTAGCCTCATGTTCAAGAGGACTACAGGGAAGTATTGAAGTCATTTCTTCTTCCGCGCAAAGCGCAGGTGAGATCCCCTGATGATAGCAGGAATAGCTGGATAACCAGATGTCCGAGGTAGACTCCTGCCGCCCTCTGGAGACAGAAGGTAGCCTAGTGTCCCAGAGATGCTGCATGGTCCCTGTGTTTTGGGGCTGGTGTACACAGGGGTTAAGCGCCGACTTCATCAAGAGGGAAAGTGAGTACAGAGCCGACAGTAAAGAAACTGTAAAGAGAGTAGTGACTGTCACCGGTGGAACTTGACGAAGCTCTGCCTTTTGTCTTCCCCCGTGACAATGTGTTGAGGGTAAAGGGACCAACATACTAAGAATTAAGGCAGTGTGGGGCCCAGTGATTGTAATAAGGAGACGGGAGACATACTAAGAAAGCAATGTGAGCTCAGTGTGTGTGTGTGTGTAGAGGGAGAAGGAAGACACATACTAGGAATGCAGCGTGAGCCAGGGATTCGACCAGTCTTCTTCACCTCGTCCCTGTTCCTCACGTCCAACACTACATAGTTATCAAGGTCGGACGACAGCTCTTCGTAGTCAATATCTGAAAATGAAAACTAATTAATTTTCAGATGCCAACTGAACACAACAATTTACAACAGTAACAACAAATATATATCTATATAAATAAAAATGTAAATGTTTGTTTTATTCAAAATCACTGATCTCTGAAAGTGAAAGTTATTCACCGATTGCTTTGAAATTTTGACATAACATTTCATTCGCATACGGGCGTGTTTTGATATACCTACTATATATATATATATATATATATATATATATATATATATATATATATATATATATATATATATATATATATATATATATATATATATATATATATATATATTAAATATGACCGAAAAATAAGATTAATAATTCTAACACGAATTTTCTCAATCTTTCGTACATTACGCTTCACTGTTGGAGGTAAATCAAAAATCACTTCTCCAAAATTCATTTTTATTTCTAGTCTGACGCGACACGGGCGCGTTTCGTAAAACTTATTACATTTTCAAAGACTTCACAAATACACAACTGATTAGAACTTACGTATCTCCGATTTTATATCTACATTTGAGTGAGGTGGGAGGGGTGATGTGGCATTAACACAAGACAGAACAAGAGGGGATATTAATAGGGTATTAAAAGTATCAACACAAGACAGAACACAAACAATGGGTATTGAATAGAAGTGTTTGTAGAAATAGCCTATTGGTCCATATTTCTTGATGCTTCTATATTGGAGCGGAGTCTTGAGGTGGGTAGAATATAGTTGTGCAATAATTGGCTGTTGATTGCTGGTGTTGACTTCTTGATGTGTAGTGCTTCGCAAACGTCAAGCCGCCTGCTATCGCTGTATCTATCGATGATTTCTGTGTTGTTTACTAGGATTTCTCTGGCGATGGTTTGGTTGTGGGAAGAGATTATATGTTCCTTAATGGAGCCCTGTTGCTTATGCATCGTTAAACGCCTAGAAAGAGATGTTGTTGTCTTGCCTATATACTGGGTTTTTTGGAGCTTACAGTCCCCAAGTGGGCATTTGAAGGCATAGATGACGTTAGTCTCTTTTAAAGCGTTCTGTTTTGTGTCTTTGTTTGTGTCCAGACACAAAACAGAACGCTTTAAAAGAGACTAACGTCGTCTATGCCTTCAAATGCCCACTTGGGGACTGTAAGCTCCAAAAAACCCAGTATATAGGCAAGACAACAACATCTCTTTCTAGGCGTTTAACGATGCATAAGCAACAGGGCTCCATTAAGGAACATATAATCTCTTCCCACAACCAAACCATCGCCAGAGAAATCCTAGTAAAGAACACAGAAATCATCGATAGATACAGCGATAGCAGGCGGCTTGACGTTTGCGAAGCACTACACATCAAGAAGTCAACACCAGCAATCAACAGCCAATTATTGCACAACTATATTCTACCCACCTCAAGACTCCGCTCCAATATAGAAGCATCAAGAAATATGGACCAATAGGCTTTCTACAAACACTTCTATTCAATACCCATTGTTTGTGTTCTGTCTTGTGTTGATACTTTTAATACCCTATTAATATCCCCTCTTGTTCTGTCTTGTGTTAATGCCACATCACCCCTCCCACCTCACTCAAATGTAGATATAAAATCGGAGATACGTAAGTTCTAATCAGTTGTGTATTTGTGAAGTCTTTGAAAATGTAATAAGTTTTACGAAACGCGCCCGTGTCGCGTCAGACTAGAAATAAAAATGAATTTTGGAGAAGTGATTTTTGATTTACCTCCAACAGTGAAGCGTAATGTACGAAAGATTGAGAAAATTCGTGTTAGAATATTAATCTTACTTTTTCGGTCATATTTAATAATATATGTCTACAGGAAAGACTGCTACCAAATATATATATATATATATATATATATATATATATATATATATATATATATATATATATATATATATATATATATATATATATATATATATAATGTCACGTCTGTGACAGGTAAAAACATACTTTTTTTTAAACTGTGCTTTTCATGTGAGGGAAATCTCCAAAACCTCTTTACAGATTGCTTTGAAATTTTGACACAAAGTTGCATTCGAATATGTGTTTTTATATACCTACTATATACATGTCACACCTTTGACAGGTAAAAGAACATGTTTTTTTTTTAAAGACAAACAGAACCATCTGTTGAACGTAAAAGCAACACACGCTATACTAAATATGTTATGATTCCATTTCAATGTTTCCGATTACATTGATAAATTGAATTTTCATAAATTTCGACATATTTTCATTTTGATTTAATTATTTTCTGTGACATGGCATTGTAATTGGCCTGTGTTGTTTACCATACCGTTCATTTCGTGAATCTAGTTTATTTTTTATTTTATCATTGCTTTTCATTTTCTTTTTTTAACTGTTCTTATTTTTCAATGACAGATCATTTGGGAACGCATTGGACGAGGGAGAACGAGAAGATGGGGGAGTGGGGGATGGTGGGGAGGATGAGGGAATGGGGGAGTTTGGAATGGTTGAGAGGACGATGGGACGGGGAGAATGGTGGGGGGACGGGTTAGGGTTGCTGTGGCTCAGCAAAGCATATATATATATATTCCCATATATATATATATGGGAAGAGATTATATGTTCCTTAATGGAGCCCTGTTGCTTATGCATAAGCAACAGGGCTCCATTAAGGAACATATAATCTCTTCCCACAACCAAACCATCGCCAGATAAATCCTAGTAAACAACACAGAAATCATCGATAGATACAGCGATAGCAGGCGACTTGACGTTTGCGAGGCACTACACATTAAGAAGTCAACACCAGCAATCAACAGCCAATTAATGCACAACTATATTCTACCCACCTCAAGACTCCGCTCCAATATAGAAGCATCAAGAAATATGGACCAATAGGCTTTCTACAATCACTTCTATTCAATACCCATTGTTTCGTGTTCTGTCTTGTGTTGATGAATTTAATACCCTATTAATACCACCTCACCCTATCCACCTCACTCAAATGTAGATATAAACAAATCGGAGATGTGTAAGTTCTATTCAGTTGTGTATGTGTAAACTAAAGTCTTTGAAAATGTAATAAGTTTTACGAAACGCGCTCAAGTGTCGCGTCAGACTAGAAATAAAAATGAATTTTGGAGAATTGATTTTTGAATTACCACCAACAGTGAAAAGAAATGTACGAAAGATTGAGAAAATTCGTGTTAGAATTATTAATCTTACTTTTTCGGTCATATTTAATAATATATGTCTACAGGAAAGACTGCTACCAAAATATACTAATATACTAATATATATATATATATATATATATATATATATATTGGTAGCAGTGTTTCTTGTAAATGTTGTTGAATATGACCGAAAGATTAATGATTCTAACACACTGTCGGGGGTAATTGAAAAGTTAACTCTCCAAAGTTCATTTTCTCTTTTTTTTATTTATGGTCTGACACTTAAAAGCGTTTCGTAAGGACTTCCTCACATTTTCAAAGACAGGTTTACACATATCAAATGAACAAAGGGGATGTGGTACACATCATTTCATGCATATATTCGTTTTGGATGAGGTGATATGACAAATGTTTTTGGGTGAGGTGACATGAATACGGAATGATTCGTGTCACCTCACCCAAAAACATTTGTGTCGGGAAGTACAACCCGGGGGTTGTAGTCCTACGGCCCGGGTTCGATTCTTGATCGAGAAAGAAACAAATGGGCAAGAGTTTCTTTCACCTGATGCATCTGTTCACCTATCAGTAATAACGTGCCTGGGAGTTTAAGACAGCTGCTGCATCCTGGAAATGAGAGTACGTAAGAGAGAAATATATGCAGGTATAGATATGATAGAGGTAAAAATTAAGTCGGGAGTCAGTACACTAGACAACAGACGGTTAGAAAGGCGGGGCCCAAGAGCTAACAACTCGATCCTGCAGACACCAATAGTAAATACAGTTATAATTAACTTAACATGAGTGTATAGTACTTAGTATAAACTTAGTACGTTAAGTTTATCAAAACCCACTTTGTCCAGCTTATATGGATACGACCGGTGCAAACCTGCCTAGACCAGCACTTCAAGAACAAGGACTCGGTACAGGCACTCTTAGCACCCGCAGTCACGCCACACACACACACACACGTGCCGCTAGTGGAGTCACGCTACCACCCACCTGTGGTGTGGTGTGTGGTGGGGAAGGGGGGAGCGTCGAATGTGTAGTGGGGCGGGGGGACGGGGAGGAAGGACTAGTGGACAACACGGTGTTGTCTTCAACACCGTTCAGAAGACCACAGGGGTCTGCAGGAGTCCCGGCAACACAAGACCCCAGCCCCACCAGCAGCGTCTGCAACACCTCATCTTCTACCTTGCCGGGTCAGTTGAGTTCGGGTGTAAACCGGTGCTGCCAAATGTCATAGTGATCACTATATTGATCCTCTATCCCCCCTCTCGTTATATCCTCCCCTCTCCCCCCACTCCTTCTCCCTCCCGCCATCACTTGTACCTTCCCTTAACCTTTCCCACAGAGAAGGACAGGCACCATCGATCCTTCAGCAAAGGTTTGATGTAATTATATCAATTTTACTCATTCAATCGTTCCTCCACATTTGGATTTTCCATCTATACATTTTCAAAGTTTCGAGAATCCAGATACACGTCGCTTCACTGAACGACTCCCAGAGTCGAAAAATTTCAGTGGGGGATATTAAGCACCTGATTAGGACTCATAATAATACATCATTTCTGACGCTATTAAAAAATTTAAATAGATCTCAAAATCTCTCATCCAATTTATCAAGAGTTTGGCTCGAAGTCGAAAAGTTGACTTCGACTAAGAGTCGAAGTCGAAGTCTTTGTAATCTTTGTTTACGTATTCAGACAGATGGTTGTCCAGGGTTCCTGTAATAGAGTCCTGGTCAGGGACCGGGCCGCGGAGACGTTGAGCCTCGAAATCAACGCAAGGTAGAGTCTGGCCTTCAGGCAGTGATACATTGTAGTGTGAACTCTGGTGGAGCAGTGCA